CTTCTTCCGGCCCTTGCATGACCCATTGGCATTTGAGGCGCACCAGCTTCCTGCTAAATGTTTTCCTTCCAGAAGTAGTCCTCGCCTGCTGAGGTCATCTCCATCCTCTGGGTTGAATGCTGTGTGTACGCGCCCATGGCCAATAGGAAAGCGCATTGCCAGGGTTGAATTCTGATTGGTTCGGCGACGTGTGTTAATGGCCTTGCATATGACGAGACCAGTGTGCTTACGTCTATGTTTGCTTGTTTTAGTGCTGACTTCCCTGTGGCGCAGAAGCAGTGCGATAAATTCACACAGCACTGACACTTCACTGATCCGGTTACAGGGCGGAACATGCTGCTCGTTCCATTCTGCTTAGAGCGTTAATCCAGGACCATTTGCAAGCGGTCTTGTGGCAATAAAAGCAATCAGTAAACCACGAGCGATGTCAACATCTGAACCATTCTGTTCTTGCTAATTGTATTCGTTTTGTATACGGTTTTTCATTTACAGTCATTACTCACACCGTAATTTAGGACTACATGTTGTGCAAGTCGCAACTTCGTTAGAATTCCTTATTAAGCTGATCAGAATGAAGGGTTAAACAAGTAGACAGAAACATTGTTTATAAAATATTCTTCTGTGTGGCTACTGGGTGGAGGAGTTATCTTTAAAAGACTGCTGTAGTCCAAAAATATATAAATAGGGCTCCGGTATTTTTCAAGTGTGCTTTCGGAGAAGAAGGACTCGTAATTAATGACCACCTTTCCCAAAAGCTGTAACACGGAATGTCCCCTTCTTGTCTTTATTACTTACCTTATAAGCCGCATGTGAATAAACATTAAAGTTTAAACTGCGTTTACTAGGTTTTGGTACATGCAGACATATAATAACGCAATGATGTAGGTTTTCCACGCATCTCATAAACCTCAAAAAAGCGATCCTAGCCACAAGGAATCCTCCGTTTAGGGGAATGTGCACATTTCTTTAGTTTTCACCTTCTGGCCGTTGCTTGGCCCCTATAGCAACACAAATTTTCTTTCTTGGTGATGTTTTACTTCACGCTTACTTTACAAGGAAACGTTTCTGGTTACTCACTTGTCAATAATGGAAGAATATACCACCAATTAGAAGATGCATCCTGGCACACATACATAAGGTGTGCTTTGGCGGGCTTGAGTAAACTGAATCACGAGCTCGGTGATAAATATTTAATATAGCGCTAAGGACTTGGAAGAGCAATACGTCAAAACAAGTGCTAATTGGAGAAAATTACCGACAAAGCCTACGTACAGTGGAACAGCTATTTTGGCTGAGGCAGCCGGGACTCAACAGATTCCCACGATATTCTTTTCTGCTAACAGGATGGACAAACATTCATCTGGTTTCATGAGTCAGGACATACCACGACGGTGTTAGGTGAATTTTTCAAGTGGTAAATATTGCATTGAGACTTATCACTCCAGACCACCAGTCAGGCAACCTGGATTGGAGATAGCTCCGGCCTGTATAGTAGTGACTGAGCCAGAAGGGACTAATCTGGTGCTTAATTTTGGCAACCATTTCCAATTATTGATTAACAGTCTGGACTTCCCTTTGATCGTCCTGCCACGGTCTTGTCACCGGCTACAGGTCGTTGAGAGAGGGGAGAGAGTGGAAGATACTGTGTAAGTCGGCTACCACCATAGACTAACTCATGCCCAAGTCACTTTTTTGCGTCCACTACTTCGTGGGCCAAATGATGTACATCTCCGTTTACCGCGGTCGAAGTGTCAGGCGCAAGACCTGGAACTTCTTGGCCAAATGTTGTCTATCGGGCAGTCCTTTAAAAGTGGACTTATTCTGAACGCCGGGCGCAAGCATAAATTGACTTTCAGGAAAAAACATACGACGTCGAAGATTATGATAGAGGCTAAAAAACGTTCAGTTTAGTAAATAACCTGTCTTTCCTCTAAAAATATTTTCAACCACCCTCACAGCCCTCTTTGAGGAAAAGCGCGATGAAAAGTTTGTGTTCCCGTTTTTTGAGAAATTGATTGGCTTTCCTAGATAGGAGGAACAACTGTTCTATCGTCTTTTCTACAGATATCAATATCTCGGAAAGTGTGATTTTGTGGACGTCTATTGCGTCATTAACTCTTCGATAGGAAACTGACAATTTCAGCAAGACTGGAATATAATCACTGTTCTAAAAGCCATGCTTATATGGCTGCTAAGTAATTTAGTTTGACAAACATCCACTTTTGGTTAGCGACCTTGGAGATGATCATTTTAGCAATATGTATACCACAAAAAACTCCGTGAAGTAAAATATCTCAGCCGACGTTTGATTAGACACTCTAAAGCAGAGGCATTTATGCATGCCTACCGTAGTATGTGCTAACCGTACTTACTTGCTTTGTGGCAACTTACGCCACGAAGACTCAAAAGAAGATAACGTGGTAATTTAAGCGACATTATACCGAAGAATACGTAAGTCGTGATATCTTTGAATTACTTAAGAAAACTCCTTGTTACACACGATGCGTCTCCTAGGTCTTATGGCAGTAAAAATGTTATCAAAAAGAATGCATAATTTTGTTCATACTTAATGTTTAAGCCGATAGTGTTGCCGGCGAACACAAGGGAGACTGGAATGGCCATTTCTGACTTTTTAAGCCGTCGTCAGCCAGTCATACCCAGACCAAAGTGGTGCCATCCCTGAGACTTGAACTCGCGACCTTTCGATCAGAGTCAAATGTCCAAACCAATGTGCCACGAATTCGTTGTCTTTCCTGTTTAGGTCGAGGAGTATTGACACTCGTCGATAAACGTTCACCCGACCGCAAACGGAACTCATCTGCCCCCTCTGCCTTGGGACTCGCCAGAGGCGCCTAAAGCTACCATAGAAATAATCAGTTTCACTACAAACTGGAATTTTAAATAGTGCTTTAATTAAAAATGTCTTTCATATGGCTACTTGTAACGATCCTATGGAATTGAAACGCAAAACCAGAAGAATTTACTGAAAACGTTTCCTGTTTAAATTTATATTAGTGATACGCATACTCATATTAGTTTATATCGCAACGCTCGCAGGCTAGAAATTGTGACCTGCAGGTTGCAATGAAGTAGGCTATCACCTGGATATCAAGAAACCTCGAAGTTTGCCCTATGTCAGTTTTATCTTTGCATTAAACAAATTTTAAATGAATTCCTTTTTTGTATATAGCTTTTCACGCCTCAACTTAATTCAACAACAAACAATAACCCCAAATTTGTCACATAATGTCCCTCCAAAGATCGATCTCAATATTTAATGAGCAAGGCCAGCTATTATACTAATGTATTAATGTAGGAAAAAATGTAATCAAAATGACGTATGATTGTACGGTTTTAATCAATTATATCCAGATTGGTGTATCAGCGTTCACCGACCGGTTGCAGAACTCATTTATCCCTGTTTGCCCTCCCTTGGCGCTATGCGGCTGCCGGCGGGGATCTAGTGTGAGCTCCAAGGTAGCCTGGGACGAGCGAGTTCCGTAACCGACGGGTAACCACTAATCCACCAAACTGCTTGTCATTTTAAGACGCTCAAACGGCTTTTAGTCATATCAAAATGCATACATGCATCCAAACTGTTTCGAGTAGTGCATTTATCTAAATGATAATAAGGAGACTGCTGCAGTGTCCCTTTACGAGTTAATCCTTCGTTTTTTATGAATACACGGCACACACTTTTTTGAAAATCATATGCTACTTTCAGCTCCAAAGTGTCGTGGACAGTCAATAATTCAGAAATGATCTTCCTCCCCCCCCCTCGGATACCGTAATTTTGCCTAAACAGTCTTTTCCATTTAAATCGACGTTTTGTGGTTTTGATTAGCACCCATCCCCGACAATCTCTGTCAGTGCTGCTTCTCATTCTTGCTCAGTGTCTTAATCTCCAGATTTTACGGACCTCTGAGTCGAATATCACAATCCTGTTCTTAAAGGTTTGCGTAGGATAAAATCTGAGACTTTTTGTCTTTTCGATTTTTATGAATGACTTCCTGGGATGCGAGCAGTACCTATAATTAAATTTACCTACCGCCTCGTCGACTCGCCAGGACGATGCACATGTGACCTTCCAGATGCGCCTACTCGGCTACTGTTTAAGCGTGCCAAAACCTACCAGCTCTGCAGGAACGCTGCTAGCAAAAAAAATCAACGACCAACCCCACTTTCGGTCTCCTCCTCGGAACTTTCCCGAGCATTGTGTTAAGTTGGCGCCCTGCCATTTCGATTGCTATACGTGTCGAACTTTTTGATCAGCTTAACCCATTCGCTTAATTTTTTACGATTACCGCCGATGCGAATAGCAAGGTGTACACCTGCCCCCACGCAGTTGACACAACTTGGAAGGGACTTGCGCGGC